AAATATACTTAGAGCTCAAAAAGTTAAAACTCCCCAAAACAAATCCACAAAGTAACAACCTAATAATAACAGATATAGCCAAAAGGGAATGCTACTACACTGTTGGTGGGAATGTAAGCTTGTTCAACCACTTGGGAAAGCAGTATGGAGGTTTCTCAAAAGACTAAACATAGAGCTTCCGTATGATCCAGTAATTCCACTCCTGGGGATTTATCCAAATGACCACAAACAAGGCCACACTAAAGCTACCAGCACAACCAGCAGCATTATTTACCATAGCTAATATGTGGAATCAACCCAGATATCCCTCAGCAGATGAATGGATCAAGAAAATGTAAATATACACATGGAATTCTATGTTTTCATCAGAAAGAATGATATTGTCCATTTGTAAGGAAATGGAAATACTTGGAAAAATTATTTTAAGTGATAACTTGTTATCCACTATATTCATTCAGATTTATTCAACAGATGTTTTTTCCATGTGTAATACATACCAGACAGAACTATATCCAGTATTATTAATTTCTGAAAGTCTAGAGTTTTATGTTTCTACTTTACAATCCCCTAGGTTAGAAGGGTTTTATCTTGGGCCATTTTTTTCCGTTGCTATAACAAAATACCTGAGTCTGGGAAACATCAATCAGAGAGGTTTATTTAGTTTATAATCCAAAAGGATGACACTGGTATCTGCTTAGCCCTGGTTGCAGCCTTCTGGTTATGTCACAACTTGGCAGATGGCATCATGGAAGGATTGTGTGCAAGAAGGAGAAATCACACATTGAGAGAGAAAGCAAAAGAGATTCAAGTGCCAGGCACTTATTTTATTCACTTTTTATTCACATGGAAATTAACCAGTGATCCCTTTTAAGTTGATAATTCCAATGACCTACCTACCTTATTAAAGATCACACAACCTTGGGAGGACTAAATTCACACAAACGTTTTAAAAGGTTCCTTCTGAAAGACCTCAAGGGTCATGTTACAGGTAATTTCTGTTTGGTCTGGATAATTTAGGGGAGAATGTAACATGATTCTGGAGGTGGCTTATAGTGATAATCAAGCTGAGTCTGCATAGCTGTCCAGCAGGAGATGAAGGCCCATTCTCTAAAGGGTATTACCTCTTCATTTCAAAAGGGATTCAAGTGAGAATCAACTCAATGGAGTTGAGTTGTTGAGTTTAATATCCATTGAGTCAAGATTTCCTGTTGTTAGAAGGGCCCTCATTGTGCCCATGTAATCGTAACCCCTTTGTATGGTATTTTCACAATTAAAAAAAAAGAAGAAAAAATGCTTTAACAATTGTGTTAAAAAAAAGAAGGGCCCTCATTGTCTCTGAATGGCTTTATATAATTATAGCACAATGATGCACAATGTTCTTCATACGTGTGTGTGTGTGTGTGTGTGTGTGTGTGTGTATGTGTATGCTGGTACCTGGGCACTGTTCCTTGGCTTTTTTGCTCAAAGTTGGTGCTCCACCACTTGAGACAGTTCCAATTCTTTGTGGTGGGAAATTAGAAATGAGTCTCAAAAATGCCTAGAATGCCTTTGAACCGTGATCCTCAGATCTCAGACTCCTGAATAGCTAGAATTTCAGATATGAGTCACTAACAACTGGCTCATATACTTTCAGCAAAGTTATTCTTACACTTTGGTGTGATTTCTGCTAGAAAGCGATTTTTAGCATCTTGCTTGCTTATGGCATTTTGCTTTTTGTCAGACAGGCATATGAGACCTGACGCCTTGCTTTCTTTTTCCTGGCCGGGATTGGCTTCCCTGGCTCCAGGTGGTTGTGTGCTAGTCTTGTATGTGCCAGACACTGACTGTGCCACACATCTCCCCTATAACATCTCAGGTGTTCTTGTTCACGATCTCCTTTTTCTCAACTCTACACTTGGGAGTCCTATTGGACACAGGCTCCTTTGTTGAAGCTCACTGTTAACTTGAAATAGTCCTTTCTCTTGACTTCCAGAGCACTCTCCTACCCTGTGCATCTTTATGCCTGTCTTTCTGCTCACACTTGATACTTCTTCCTATTGCTTTAATGTCCTGTTTGTCTTTGCTAGGCAAATGCTTCTCATTTGAACCATACCCTACCACTCTGGTAATTTTTTTTTCTTTCTCCATGGTTCCATGCAGAACCTCCTGATTCATAGACAGCCTACCAAAGAACCCTCCACTCACAGACACACTACCTCCCAAACCAAACCAGTGATTTCTGACATTAGTCTTCCTGCATCCTCCTCTCAGCGAAGAATTTGTGACTTCCTGTCCCTCTGTGCCATCAACTGCTCCCTCTCTTGGTATCAGCTGAATTACTAATCCTGCCTATTCCATCTCCTGACCATCTCCGCCATCAGGTCTTTTCTCAACCATCATATTCATGTGGAACTTGCTGCAGTTTCTTGGTAACAGTTTCCCTTCTGTTCTTACAGATAGTGTCATCTGTTGGTCTCTACAAAGCACCGATTCCCCCATCCCAGCCTTCTGTCCGTCTCATCCCTCCTTCTTTCTCATGGAATACATGTAACTATGGTTTATTTACTCCTGGAAGCCAGCAGCCGGCTTGTACCTCCTCCCCACTCCCCCAGTACAGGTTGAATGTCTTCCTACTGTACTTCTATGGCAGATTATACAAACCATTATCATTTAATTGCCTATATACTTTCCTATTTTCCACTTCAATTATGAATTATATGCAAGCAGCACCTGTATGTTTTCCCACCGTTTTCTAGAATGGGGGACTCTTTGGTTTTCAGGGTACAGTGAATATGTGACTGACCATGTATCCCAAACCTGGCCATTTCAGCTTTACATCACTGATGTGATGTCTGTGGTATCCAGTTCTTAAAAGTACTTGGATAGAGATGAAGAACCACTCTTTAATGGATCCCTGACAGTTCATGGCCCAGCAAAAGGTCTCCATGGTGGACAGTAAGAGAAACTCAATTCCATAGTTTTTTTTCAGACTTGAATTTTTTTCAATAATCCACAGGAACTGTTTTTCCTTCTGCACAATTGCATTTCCTTACATTATCTTAAACGAAGAGTTCTTTTTCTCTTTACCTAGTGTCTTACCAAGAGCAGGGGGTGAGTCCTCTACAATGTTGCATCCCCAAGTATGGAACTGAGCAAACCATCACTACTTTGAATTGGGGATTTTATCTTTGCATTCATGCTGTTCATCCTTATTGCTTTTTCCTCTGGAGTCATCCCTAGAGTTTCCTCCCTCAGTAAAAATCTTTGCATCAGCAGCTCTGCTCTTAACTTGTTAGATATATTGAGCCTTTTTTTAAAAAAACTGCATACAAGGATCTGGGAATATATATATATTCAGATAGATTTTTTTTTCTTGGAGAAAATCTTTGATGGTTGAGAATATACTTGTGAAACATATTAGTCCCTTCAGTTGATGTCAGCTTTTGAGCTATATATGATTTGAAAAGATTTATCAGAGGACTAGAATGCAAACCAGAAACCAACCTGTATTTTAAAAAGAAGATAATTTAATATGAGAACTTGGTATGCAGGTGTAAGGACAAAAGAACTAAAGCAGAGCCAGTGCTTTTTCTTGGAAATCATTGACTATAGAGAGACTATTGCCCCAGGACTGGAAGGGCAGAGAAAGCGTTTTGTTTTGTTTTTGTTTTTTGGTCCTATTAGTGCTGCATTGCTGTGGCTGCCTGTCACCACAAGGCAGAAGGCTGGGAACTGATACCTGGGACACTTTGCCTGAGGGTGCGACTGCCCTCCTTATGATCACTGCAGCAGAGACTGCCAGGGCCAGCAGCTGACAGTCGCTTCCAGTTCCAGTCCCCTACATGAAGCCAGCTGGATTCAGCTGGCAAAGGAGATTGGGAAACAGTGAAAGATTTTACCTTTCTTGGGTCCTGAGGAGAGTTTGGAGAAGCTAGAATGGGCTGGAGTTCTACCAGAAAGTACTCCTGTACCAGGTCATAATAAAAATAGCTCTCCTATGTCTGTCTCCCTTTCCCTTCTGTCTCTCTGTCTCTGTCTCTGTTTCTCCAAGTCACTTAGCTTGTATAGAGTTCAGTCACTAGGACAGTGGATGGTTTCTTCAACTAGATTTGATCTCTTTTCCCATCATGACAGATGTGAATGAGGTACTGTACATAACATTTCTGAGCTCATCTATCTGATAGCAATGTTTGCAGAAATTAATGCTCCCAGTGTCTTACTGGAACAGGAACATTCTATGGTAACAGTTGATAGGAGATGCGTCTGGTTTTGCAGCCCTAAAAAGTACACAATCATTTTCTCTAAAGTTAACTACTAAATAGATGTCTACTGATGTCACAGTTCCACATCTGGCTTTTGGGTTGTTTACTAGAGATAAGAATCTCATAATTTCCTTCCCAGCCTGGCTTTGAACCATGATCCTCAGATATCTGAATATAGATATCCTGAATATCTAGGATTATAGGCATGAACCTTCAGCATCTAGCTTTAAGTGATTGTTTTAATAAAAATCCTAAGCTGTAATTAAAAAAAAGACAAGTTGGTGCTGGTAGCTCATGCTTACAATCCTAGCTACTTAGGAGGATCTGAGGATCACAGTTCAAAGCCAGCTTGGGGAAGGAAAAATCTGTAAGACTCTTATCTCCAATTAACCACCTAGAAACCTCTAGTGGAACTGTGGCACAAGGTGGTAGAATGCTAGCCTTGAGCAAACTACATTAAGGACAGTGCTCATACCCCGAGTTCAAGCCTTATAAGCATCAACAAGAAAGATAATCAAAAGCCCAGTTTTGGTGACTCACACCTATAGTCCTAGCTAAAGTATGTGTCCCTCCCTTTGTTTATCTTTTTTCCCCCCTTGTGCCAGTACTGAGGTTTAAAGTCAGGGCATGTCCTCTTTCTTAACTTCCTCCTTCCCCAGTCAAGGCTGGTGCTTTACTTCTTGAGCCACACCTCCACTTCCAGTGGTTTCCACCTTTTGCAGCGTGGTGACCTCAGAACCCCTGATCTTGTCGCATTAGTGAGTCCAGTGGAGCTGTGCTCAGCCCTCTCTCTGTCTATTCTTGCCCCGCCAGCATGGTCTTCAGCAGAGAAGCCATCAGAAGACTCCTCGCCAGCAAGTGTCGGTGCTACAGCAATGATGCTCCTGACGACATGGTCCTGGGCATGTGCTTCAGTGGTCTGGGCATCCCTGTGACTCACAGCCCACTTTTCCACCAGGTGAGAGCACTTCCTTTCCTGCCTGCAGGGGATGCAATTTCACTCTCACTTAGGGGGGTCTGCTTCCTTCTCCTATGTTATGGTTTCCTGCCTGCAGGGGATGCAATTTCACTCTCACTTAGGGGGGTCTGCTTCCTTCTCCTATGTTATGGAGATGATCTTAGGAACTATGTTGGCAGGCCCCAGGGGGACATTCTTAACAGCCTTTGGAGCCTCTGTGTCCATCAAAAAGGTGGAAGACAGAACATTTAGGAGCAGTGTTGTCAGACACCTTGTACATAGACTGTTTTGTAGAATGGGAACCTCTTTGTACAACTACTTAAAGATAATAATAAGAAGAAGATGTAAAAATAAAAATAAAACAAAAAAGAGAAAATAATGGTGTTGGACCAGTGCCCTTGCCTGTAGGACCAGGGAATGTATTCTTTTCAATTAAAAATTGATGCTGTTTGCTGAGTGCCAACAGCTTATGCCTAGCTACTCATGAGGCTGAGATCTGAGGATTGCAGTTCAAAGCCAGTCGAGGCAGGAAAGTCTGTGAGACTCTTTTCTCCAATTAACCACCAGAAAACCGGAAGTGGTTCTGTGGCTCATAGTAGAATGCTAGCCTTGAGTAAAAGAGCTCAGGGGTAGTGCCCAGGCCCTGAGTTCAAGTCCCATGACCAACCATAAAGAAAGAAAATCAACATCTAAAAATGATTGGTTGCTACCCAGGACTATATGGCTGACCTAACATCCAACAAGTATGTGGAATTCTATACTGTCCTCAGTTTTTGGACTATCCCTCTGGCTGTGAGTTTTTGTTGTTGTTTTATTTTGGTTTTGATTGTCTTTTTTGGGCTTTCTCCCTAAACTTGCTGGCTAAAATCTATTAACATTTCAATATGATATCTCATTATATTTTATGGGATACAGAGGAAATCATATTTTTTTTCAGGTTTGGTTAGTGCCCATAGCTTCACTGTATGTCTTTTGGAATAGGAGAAAAGAATTCTTCTGAAACATTTTCGGTAGTACTTTAAGAATCTATCAACCAGGTATTGGTAGCTCCTATCATCCTAACTACTCCAGAGTCTAGGATCTAAAGGATCAAATTCAAAGCCAGCTCAGGCAGAAAAGTCCATGAATCTTTATCTCCAAAGTAACAAGCAAAAATTGACTTAGAGGTGTGGTTGAAGTGGTAGAATGCCAGGCAAGCAAGTAAGTCTACCAAGCACAAGGTCTTGAGTTCATACCCAAGTACTTCTGAGAGAGACACAGAGAGAGGGGGAAAGGGAGAGAGAGAGAGAGAGAGAGAGAGAGAGAGAGAGAGAGAGACTGTGTAGAGAGAACAGGGAGAAAGGGGAAAAGAGGAAGAGGGAAGAGACAGGGAAGATCCTATCCAGTGGATGCATTTTTCTAAGAATGATTGTATATTATACAAAAACTAAAAATATCTGTAGATCTGCATCCATCTAATGGATCCCTCTAAGAAATTCGAAGCTTTTTGACATTTTAATGTAAACACATACATATTTAAATGTCCACCTTATACTGAAAAAAAATAGTGTCATGCTTTGCTTAGTAACTTACTGCTAGCATAGCAATAAAGAAAACTGATCATGACAGAAATAGCAGTGTAGAAAGCATTCTGAACAAGGCAAAAAAGTATGTGCATTGTCCAGAAAGACAGTATCCATGTCTTGGTAAGGGAGGATAAAAATAGACCTTTTATAAAGAAAAAAAATTCTAGCTGTGCAGGAGACTGAGATCTGAGGATCCTTGTATGAAGCTATCACTGGCAGGAAGTCCATGAACCTCTCATCTCCAATTAACTACCCATAATGAAGCAATGGAGATATGGCTCAAAGGGTAGAGCACCAGGCTTTTGCAGAAAAGTCAAATGAGAGCTTGAGAACCTGCGTTCAAGCTCTAATACTGCCACAAAAAAGGAAGGAGGGAAGGAAACTAGAAAGGAAAGGAGGGAAATAAAGAGGAGGAAAATAGAGAGGGGGAGGGAGGGAGGAAGGGAGAGGGAGAAAGAGAGAGAAATTGATGAGAAACCTTTCTTGCATCCGTCAGCAGGCACTTTTCTGTCTTTTAAGATCTTGAGAGAACTTGCACACATTTTAAACCAGTATGTTATGATACAGTAACCTAAAAAACGCAGGTTATTTTCTGTTGCTCCTTGTTCTATCTCAGGATGTCTCACTCATGAAAAGGGAAGGTAATTAAAACTGTTCATGTCTAAAGGATGTAATTTATAAAAGTTAGTATGACATGTCTTGGATTTTTATAGCAACTCTTTCCTCATAAGGAAAAATGCATTAGCAAATACAGTGATAAGAATAGAAGAAAGATGGAAAATAACCTAATCCCTAAGCAAAAATCCTTTGATGATAATTCAAAAAAATGTTTAAAAAGTTGTGTATTGCTTACTGTACTTTAAAACTCTGTATTCTTTAATTCATGTAATAAATTAAAAACCTTTCCAAAATTACAAAATATGTTTAAAACTTATCCTCCCCAACTGACTTTGCAGTGTCCAGTTCTTAAGCCTTTTTTTTAGAAAGTCTGATATCATTTGAACAATACTTTCCATTTGTAATGTTTGAACATGAATCCAAACAGTATATTTGTTTATATTAAGGAAGAAATATGAGGTAAAGAGATAAGAATCTTAAGATTCCTGAAGAATTAGAGTTAGATTATTTGTAAACAGTCTTTGTGTGTGTGTGTGTGTATGTGTGTGTGTGTGTGTGTGTGTGTGTGTGTGTGTGTGTGTTTAGCTCCCAGGGCTTGAACTCAGGGCATAGATGTTTTCCCTAAGCTTTTGTGCTAAAGGTTAGTCATCTATCACTTAAGCCACAGCTCCATTTCCCGATTTTTGGTGTTTAACTGGAGTTTATAGTCTCATGGATCTTCCTGTCTGGGCTGGCTTTGAACCATGATCCTCAGATCTCAGATTCCTGACTAGGATTACAGTCTTGAGCCACTGGCACTTGACTACCATCCTGATTTCATGTTGCCTGAGCCATATTCAGTCTGCTTTCAGTCAGAGAACGGAATATATACATATAGTACTGCCAGTACTGGGGTCCTCAAGCTCTCATTTGGCTTTTCTTGAACTCAGGGCCCTGAGTTCTCACTTGGCTTTTCACTCAAGGTTGCCATTCTATTAGTTGAGCTTTGCCTCTGCTTCCAGTATTTTGCTGGTTAGTTAGAGTAAGTGTCTCATGGACTTTTCTGTCTTGGCTGGCTTGGACTATGATCTTTAGATCTCAGCATCTTAAAGAGCTAGGATTACAGGCATGAGCCATCATTGCTTGGCAAACATTATTCTAAAATGAGAGATTTGGGAGGAGGTTATCTTTTCATTAAAAAGCTAAGTATCTTGAGCATGTGGTTCTCTGTTCTTCTAAGATTATAAGCCACAAATAATATGGCAGTAAGTAGTGGCCTATAAATTTTCTGCATACAATGCAAGCACCAAATTAGACAAAATTGTTACTTTGGGACTTATGAAATTAGTCTTAACACATTGGGAACTTGAACTCAAGGTTTCTTGCTCTCACTCTGCCTTTTAGCTCATGGCTGGTGCTCTACCATTTGAGCCATGACTTTAGTCCCAAGACATTTCAGACAAGGAAAAATTACAAGAATTCTTTACTATCAGACCACTGGACAAAGTCAAGATCAGAGGAGATGGCCTCTTATAACTAGAATAGACAGGAAGGAGAAAAGAAAACTGAAAGGGTTTGTACTGAATATGAAAGATTGTATGTGTATACTATGTATGCATATGTAAATATATGGGAAGGGATTTGAACTATGTTGTAGCAAAGCTGATTTTATTGGCATTAAGTTTATGTTCATAAATGAAAGATTCTTGTTCTTGTCCCTAAAGCAGCCTCTGAGGAAATAACTTGTGAACAATAGCCCCCAAAATCCCAACAAAAGGACTTAAATGTTTACTAAAGAGATTTTGCTTAATAAAAATAAGGCAGTAACAGAGGAACAAAGGAACCAAAAAACTGGGAGATATGCAGAAAACAAATAGCAAAATAGCTCATGAAATTCAGCTAGGTCAGCTCTTGCATTAAATGATCATAGAAATTGTCAGCCTGGATAGAAAGCAAATTCTGATTGTGTTGTTTATGAGTCAAGCATGCTCTAGACTCATAAATAACAGCTGTGCCGAATTTCATGGATTAGAAAAGCCGCGTCATAAAAAACCCTAAGAGAACTTGAGTGGTTGTACTAATGTTAAAGACAAGGTTACAGATATTATTAAAGAGAAAGGAGGATAATTCATGTTAACAGAAGGACAGCCTAGACAGAAGGGTATAAGCCTGTTACAAGCATACAAATGTAACTAATAATGGGTCTTCAAAGTACATGAAGCATAAATTGATAGAAATGAAAAGTGAAATAAACAGTAACTAGTTGACCTACTTGACAACAGAATACACATTTTTTAAATGTACACAGAACGTTCTTCAGGGCAGACCATATGCTAAGTCATAAAACAATTCTCAATAGATTTGAAAGGAATTTCCCAGATTTTTAAAATTTGTTTTTCGGTAGTACTTAAGGTTGAACTAAGAACCTTTGGCTTACTAGGCAACTTCTGCGCTACATGAGTCCTGAACTTAAATATGAAACTAGTCAAAGCATATTCTTCGATCACAATTGAATTCAATTAGAAATGAAGAACAGCAAAAAACATTGGCAGACTACCAAATGTTTGTATAACACATTCCTAAATACTTCAAAGGCCTAAAAAGAAATTATGAGGGAACTTAGAAAATATCTTGAGTACAGGAAAGATGAAACAAAATGTATCAAAATTCTGGATTCAGCTACACAGTAACTAGAGGGAAATTTGTAGTCTTAAACATGTTAGAAATTAGCACAAATAGATGTGGATGCAGTGTAATTCAGCTATTCAGGAGGCAGAGATTAGAAGGATCTCTGAAATCTCAGAGATTATAAGGCTCCCATCTCAATCAAGAAAGCTG